CCTAACGGTTTAGTTAGTAAAGGTGATTAACCGTGATTGGGTAATCTGATAATCTATTGAAGTGATATCATATCACTGATGATATTGATGCCACTTACGCCTTTGCCACCCTTAGTAACGTGTTATTACATTAAAGGTTAACTTGTATTACATTTACGTTTGGTCAGCTTATTACATTTAGCGTTAAATTGTATTACATTTACGGTGGGGTAAGTTATTACATTTAGGGTTGATTTTTATTACATTTGCGGTTAGTATTACATTTAGAGTTAGTTTTTATTACATTTACGGTTGTTATTACATTTAGCGTTGTTGTTACATTTAGCGGTGATAGAAGTCTACCGACTGGCGTTGATCCATACAGTGAGTCTCATAAAGGTTCCATGATCTTTTGAAAACTGTCTGGCAGGTTAATAGCAAAGAACTACCCAAAGTGTGAGGATATACAAGCCTATTCGTGCTTCGTTATGGACAGCGCTGGTTTCCTTGTCATGCACCAGAGCTTTATGGACCCTTCAGCTTCGAGACAAGCGATAGAGCGCGTGCATATCGCCGAGAAAGAGGAGCATATAGCAGAAGACATGATTAACAAGGGTTATCTGGTTAAAAAGGAATGCCGAAACCTAGAAGACATAGAAGAGCATACATTTTATGAAGTCAATTTACCTCAATCTGGTGAAGTGGATGCAACAGATAATGCTGGAAGTTGTACTAAATACCAAATTGGAAAAATTGAAGGGACAAACATGTATTTAGGTAAAATACGATAAGTTGTGTGAAATATTTTAAATAACACTTTATAAACACTTATAAGCCGATTCGTGCAATTCTATAATATTATATTTCAGCTAGCCATTATTTCTAAACAGACCAGGCTTTTCTTCTTCCTTGTCTCAAGGCAAAACACCCTGTGATTCGTAAAATGTAAATTCTATAACAATGAAACTTAATACGTGTATCACAAGTCGGAATAGTACGAAATATCAAGGAAAATTACGTCATAATCTCCGAACAACCGCTAACTTGGATTTTATTATTTTAACAAAACGCAGGAAAACCTTTAAAAACCTCACTAAATCTAAATCTAAGTCGTAAAGGGGAAAATTCAAAATTTGAAAAACATGCTTGTCAAAGTATGGTTGCCATGGCAAAAACAACGGTATGTCTTACAAGATCGGATCTAAATGTAAGGAAAATTCACCAGATTTGGGACTTATTACTTCAGTAAGCGTTCAAACTTTCTGAGGGCCTTAAATTTTCCCTGCATAGACAGGAAATTAACACTTGACTGTATTAAATTACAGGAATTTCTTTGAGAGATCCAGGTTGTTCTCGAGGCTGTACTTGTTCTTCAAATGAACCGTGTAAATTCTTATCTTGCAAATGCCCTTGTATCTCTTCACTGGATTTTCATTACTGTCGCGGAGAGTTCCCCAATAGCAGGTTGGTTGACTTTAAGATAACTTTACTTCATCCTGTTTTGCAAATTTCTCCTTACTTTTCTCTTGCGAAAGCTAACCAGTTGCTTTAATGCTCTTTAGAGTAATAGGGCCACAGTAGGAAGGGGATATTTGCAAGATTAGGTTGTTTGATATGTTATTTGAAAATTAAACCTTTTTTATAAGGTTTGCATTACCAATACGTTCGAGTAATTCAGTTTGCCACACGGAAATGTGCAACAGCAACAAAATGACTTTTAATAAAAGGACCTTGCTACATCATATACTTTAGACAAAAGCCAAGATGATCTTATTCCAAAATAATAACATGACATATGAAAAGGAAATTACAACTGAGTCTCGTGGATTCTAAATATAACGACTCGTACCCATTCAACAGAAATGACAGGCAAACGAATCTCTTCGTAACTGAAGTTTTGAGTGAGTCATCAAAGCTATTAGGCAGTGCTCCTCTTCCCACCNCCCCCCAACCCCCTTCTTCCCCTTCCCTGGCTGCTCCTCAGCCGTGTGCAGTATGTTTATATTACAACCAAATTGTACTGTATATTTTAGCCTTCCTGTTTGCCCAGCGCTGGCCCCTGACCAGTCGGAAGTTCTTTCTCCAAAGAAAGAATGCCCTAGGTTGGAAAAATGCTTTGATCCTCACTGCAAAGAGAAAAGCGGTCAGCACACCTGCGATGGGATTGTTAGTTGCTATTGGTGCGAGAGGGATAAAGATGATGTCATATTACCTAAGCCGTACTGTGATAGTTACGAACAGTGCTTCAGAGGGAAAGAGACTCCGGCCATTAAGGGTAATAGTAAAATTATTTAATCATCATTTTTGATACTTCAAGATTTCATCCATGTGTCAATGACCAATTTAATTAATCACACTGGAATGCGTTAGAACCCCACCATCTCCAACTAGCAAGGGGAACGCAAATAATAGTTCGAGACAAAGAGCTTCGAGATAACTGACAGTAAATGCCTGAAATATCACATGCAAGAGCTTGAAAGAAGGGGAAGGGGAGGGATAGCGGGGTGTTTGAAATAACAGAGTTCGAGATAACGGGTACCTTTACACCAGTATTGTATTGTATTATATTGTATTGCATTGCATTGCATTGCATTGCATTGCATTGCGTTGCGTTGCGTTGCGTTGCGTTGCGTTGCGTTGCGTTGAGTTGTGTTGTGTTGTGTTGTGTTGTTGTTGTGTTGTGTTGTATTGTTGCGACACACAAGCTCTGGAGACACATGATGACACAATACAGTATGTTGCACCAAGATTGTATCCTGCAAATGCAACGTCGCGCACATTGTTGCTGCAACTCAGTGCTGACTCCTTTTATCTTTGGCAGACGATGAACCAAATTGTGGCCAAGCAGAGACGTCAAGTCCAGATGGTGGTGATAATGGCGGTTTGTCTCCTGGTGTCATTTTAGGAATTTGTACAGGGTGTATAATCATCGTGGCGGTGGTAGTGGCTGCACTATATTGGGTAAGAAACTAGCCAGTTAATCTCTTCTGTATATTGTGCCTAAGATAGTTGCCATCTCAGTTAATGGGTGTTACTATTTATGGAACTTAATGAAGGGTTTTAAATCTGATACAAACACAGCTTTACAATTCCTCCTGATTCACAGGACGCCTTTGGCAGGGGCAAATTTGGAACGTACATTTTAAAATCCGATTTTTTTTCATATTAACATTCTGTAGTCGAGCATTTTCACCGTGACTATCTGCTGATGTTTTAAGCATATAAGAATTCTAAAAGATAAGAATTTTCACCTTCGGAGAGTACTGAATAGAATTAAGTTTGCAGCTTGACTAACACGTGCACATGTGCGGGTTTTTTTCTTCAGGGTAAACGTCATTACCGACCAATGGGTGATATGCCGAATAATCATGAGCCGGACCATCCCATGTCAATTGATAACCCCATTGGTCCTGTATACGCAGCTATCAATGACACCCAGAGAGAATCTGGATCACAACCTTCCACAAATGGAGACCTAAACATCATAAGTAAGCAACCTGAATCTCATGACCAGCTACCAAGCATTCCCTTGAAAAGAAAGGTCAGTGGTAACCAGCCCCCTCCCATTCCGGCAACACGGAGGCCTTCTGGAGCCGTAGAAACACTGGCTATGGGAATTTTGCAGTTGAGCGATCAAGAACATCCCAGAAAGGCATCCATTGACGTTGGAAGAGTAAACGCTCATCGAGCTAGGAGACCTTCTGAACTTGGCGACCCATCTACCCCTATTCCTGAGGAAAACACGCTTCAGGTGACATACCCGCCGACCAGTTGGGGAAACAGCAAGAGAGTCTATGGTAATATGCAGTGTTCTGACATGACAAACATATCAAACCATCTTCCTGAAAGGGATATGCCTCAGACAACAAACCCGGCGACTATTTCGGAACAGGGAGAAAGACTATATGGCAATGTAACGCCAAAGGTTGCTAAAATACCAGTGGAATCACATGATGAAGGGGCTGGTGATATCACTGACGATAATGTATACTTGGAATTCGGTAATACCGGGGAGGCTCCTGTAGAAACACAACAAACTTAATAAACAACTGAAAACTAGAACTCAGGTCAATATTCCACGCTATACATGCTCCTACTAAATGTACGTACTAATGTTAGCTGCGGAGGTGCAGTTGTTACAGAGGTATTCATTTTAGAGTGTAGTCTGATTTATAGATATGTCTTGTAGAGACATATTCACCATAGGGACGTATCTGCCTTAGCAATATGTCTGCCATACGGATGTCTGCCTTGAGGCAATTAATTTAAGTTAGAGTCTTCTTTAGAAGAGGAACTGCTCTAGATACATATCAGCTAAAGGAAGGAGCTTGTATCTGCTGAAGAGAGAGTTTTTTCTTAAATTGGAGTTTACCTTAGCGCTAGAGAAGTGCCTTCCTTGGAACAATTTCCGTCTCAGAGCGAGATCCCCATGCAAACAAGTAGGGTTCAGCTTTAGATGTCTTCCTCAGATAAATATCTTCTTTACAGTGATTTATACCTCAGAGCGGAGCTTTCATGGCAAATATGTGCCAGGCTGGGATAGATTTCATCAAAAGAAAGATATCTTCCTTACACGTATTTATGCTTTAGAGGGGAGTTTGCAGTATAAAGATATTTCCTTACAGATACGACTTTCATGGAGAGATGTCTAACTCAAAGACGTCCCTGCCTTGACCTTGTGTCCCATATCCACTGCAGATACGTCCCTGCCTCAACGAGGGTATATGTCAATCATGTGTGATGGATGCATTGGGCAAGAGTACTCCAAAGTAATAACTTAAAAAGGCATGTCACGCTTAGATGACGAAGCTGTGACTGTAAGGTTAAAATAGTCGAACATAAAATAAATAGGGGAGTGTGTAACCGACTTCCTCTGATAAATAAGAAAAAAAAGCTGACAGAATATTCGAAACGAGTTATTTAATGAAAGTATAGCACACAAAATGTTACCTTTAGTAATAACACTATTTCGAGTGCAATTTGGACTAAATAATGATCACTACCTATTACCTAGATTAAAGAACAACACTGCAAAGGCTCTTCCCTCCAAGTGAAGCATAGGCCATCAAAGATCTCGATCTCGATCTCGATCTCGATCGACTCTGGGCTGTCCTTTCTACCTCGGCCCAGATAGTACTACTTCTCTTTAGTTTTGACAAAGGCCAACACTCCCAGTGATGTTTAAAAATGATGTAACTGCCGTATTACGGTGGCTTTCAAAATAATATTCAAAACAATGCAGCTCGAAATATCCCTATTGACACTGTCTAAATAACTGCACAAAGTGTGGTTGTTGCATGTTTATGGGGTACTTAAGAGATAGCCGTCTATAGCATCGAGTGCAATGACAAATATTAGTAAAAACTGGATCATTGGATAATGCAATTCAGGAGTGTTTATTGGCTTAGCCATCATGGTATATTAGCGATGCTCTACATATATGGTTAGCGCATTTGGGGGACGTTTTTAATAAAACAATTATTCCACTCGCGCCTATCAGATATGGGATAAAAATAGCCAACTCGGCGCTACGTGCCTCGTTGGATATCTACCATCTCATATCCAACGCGCGCTCGTGAAATAATTGTTAAAAAAAAACTCTGTTTACCTCGTCTGTATGTATGAGAGGTGATGGAGGGGTGGAGGGGTGGGGTAGAGACCCTCGCTAACTTTGAGAATTTGTTACTTTAAAAGCAATAAAGCAATCTGGTAACTTTTCCCACAAGATAAGTGGATTTAATTTTTAATGACATTGTATTGTTCCTGGAACTGCATGTTAATAGCAACCGTTTTTTGGTACGCATCATCAATTTTCCAGTCTTTAATAAAAAAAATTCTTGCCGTAGCTTTAACTTTTTTCACCATTTTCAATCTGATCAATTTTGGGATAAATAAAATCTTCCTTTTTCCGGCCTCTTGGACACCACCTCTTGTTTGAACAAAAACTGACGAAGGCGTCCCACGGTGGGAATATCACTTTGCTTGTACGTCGCAGGGTTAAAGTGAAATTAGAAACCACACTTTTCAAAGGAAACCAATTTAATAACTGTCAAACATTTACACCCCTGTATAGCAAAGTTGTTCACTAATTACATTTAGTTAACATAACTTTAAGTAAAGTTTTTCTCTTTTTCAACCGACTACAAACGTAATATTTAGACCTGAACGGAACCACCGTGTTATAATAAAGTGTAACTACTACTATTGCCAGAGGAGTTGCTAGGCATACGTGACACTCCCTTGCGAAACTAGTACTAATAGTACTAACACAGTTTTACTGCAACTGTCACTACTATACCACCATTACCGTCACTACTTCTCCTTCTTCTTCTCCTTCCACAAAACTACTACTAATACAAATATGAATGAATATTTAACCCATTCAAGAAATTTTTCTGAAAGACGGCATCTAGTTAAGTTCAAAATATGTAATCACAAACTAATACATGCATTACATACATTACTTTATCATATGACCTGTACGGCCCCGCGCGCAATTTCCTTGGAAAACCATAAGAAAAAAGGTCCCGTATGAGGGCCGTACACGTCGAAGTGATAGGGCCGGAAAAACACGAACGGCCCTTCTAGAAATGCGTACGGCCCTACTAGAAACTCGATGCGAGTTAGATGACAAAACAATTTTGTCGCTGCAAAATTTTGTTCTCTTCAAAGTGAGAGATGAAAGTGAACATTCTGAGAGCGAAGTTTACGCTCCAGGCGAACTGTCCGATGCAGAACTACTTCAGTCTCCAACTCACTCCGAAAGCACGGAAAGAAAGTCCACAGTCCTCACAACTGAAGAAGTTCACAACTTTCCCAGAAGCCAACAACATGCATTCAGGCGGTCAAGAAAGCAACTTTTCCGGATAGATTGTCCGATAATTAACCTTCGGAATAAGCAAACAGTCTTGAGGCGAAACTTCTTTCAGTTGAAAGCATCAAAGAATTCACCGTGGGTCAAAAACAAGAAAACCGGCAAGTCGCGAGGAAAACAAAGTACGATATAATTTTTTTTCGTCGAGTTTCCAGAGTTGGGAGAAGAGAATTCACAAACATACCTTGTGTTCAGTAGGATAAATTGCTCTGCAGTTTCTACATCAGTGTTGTTTGAAGAGAAAAAACTGAGTACGAACACAAGTTCATTACCGTACAGTTCATCCAGAAAATAAAACTCGCTTGAATTTCCACAACACAGCAAAGCCAGCAAAGTCAGCAAACCAGGCACTGTTTGCGGGAGCCAACATCGGTGTCATTAATGTTCAGTTTGTGCTTCTTCCTTGTTCAAGAGAATCCAAGAGGTCGACAAATAGCTTGAAACGACGCCGACATTTTCTTGAGTCTTCAGATGAAGAAGATTTGTGAACAATTTCAGTGAAGCGTGAAGCAAACGCTAAGTTTTTCGCTCAGTTTTTGATGGTTTTGACATATTTTTGACAGCTTTATGTCAACTTTCTGTTGGCTTTTTAGCATGAATTGTAATTGTAGACTTACATTGAAAAAAAATATGAGAAAATTTGTCGTGTTTTTCGATGAATTGTGAGTTTCTTGTTCGACGCGAAGAAATAATTAAATGACACTGAGATTTTATAGTAGAATCTTTTCTGTAGTTTTTCCGCGCACGGCAGTCTGATGTCATGTACTTGCGTCCTATTTAGGTTCAATCGTTAAGTGGTCATATGATAAAATGTTTATTGACTGAGTAAAGTCGGGCCGGACCGGAAAATATTTATCTCTCGGTCAAGACGCACGGACCTCGCTGCGCTCGGTCCGTACGTCCTGACCTCGAGCCAAATACTTTCTCGTCCGGCCCTCCCACTCAGTCAATAAGTACATATTATTTATTTACTCTCGGATTTCAGAGTAACTTATGCAGCTAATATCTCCAAGCATTTAACCATCAGATGAGAGATAGACCACCACACCTGGAACTATGTCCCCTACTCTTTTCGATCAGTGTGTGGGTTCTTTTATGAAGAGTTGTGAAACGGGGCCTACGGTTTATCGTCCTTATCCGTGAAGACTAGAAAGTCTAACCATTTACAGATGTCATTACCAAAGCAGCACTTTCTCCTCAATTATTTAAAGACCCTGAGTGTTGGTCCGGCCGGGGGTTGAACCCGCGACCTCACGCACGCTAGTCCGGTGCTCTACCACTGAGCTAACCGGCGGTAAAATGATTGAAGTGAAGAACTACTTCAATCATTACTGAAGTAATGATTCAAGTAGGTAGATATCAGACAGATAATCTCCCTTGGGAAATAGCTTACGCCTGTTTTGTAAATTGAATCAAGTAGAAAATGAAACTCATCTCTCGTTTCATTGTAGTACCCACTCTTTACAGAGGCAGGCATTCTTTAAAGAAATTAGTGAAATTAATAATACCTGACATTCAACGAGAATCAACATCAGGTATTGTAAAACTCCTCATGAACTCTAAAGACTATAATGAAAGCAGGCTGGTAATGAAGTATATCTCCTCATGCATGATTATACGTGATAAATTATTATCGAAAGGAGATGGTGTAACTTCCTACTACTACTACTACTACTACTACTACTACTGCATTCTAGGGGATGCATTTTACGTAGCCATGCACATCAAGGCAAACAGAATTACTTCTCTCGCGATTTAGTCGACCTGGCCTGTAAGAGCCACACTGTTGTGACTCACCAGCAGCGGGTTGCAGCATATTGGTATCGAATGGACTCCTAAGTCCAGAAAGAGGCGAGGAAGGCGTCTTGGCCAGCCTGTTCTTCAGAGGAGAAGTGGCATTTGTATTGTCTTCCGAATGTCTTCTGGGTGGTGCAGGAATTACTTGTGCTGATTTACCTTTCTCTTCAGGAATATCCAGTGGCGGAGAATCGAATGCCCTTCTGTTCTGATACTCAGGTGGTAATGGAGGTCCACTACACTCTCCCTTCTCCTCGAGATATGATGCCTGAATGCTCGTTGTTGGACTAGTGGCGCTTGCAGCTGCAACAGATTCCTTCCGGCGAGGAGGAACGTCCGGTGGTTTCTCGACAGACCGGACTGTCGTCTCATTGTCATAGGGCGATGGCCCCTGAGCGGAAACTATCAGAGCTATTGAAGCCTGAGGTGGAGACTCTAACGAAACAGGTTCATCATAATGCACATCAGATCCGCCATTGTCGAGTCCCAGCTCTGGAAGAGGCTCTGGAGGACGTGTCCTGGTATCTGTCGGCTCCGCAGTAATGATGTCTTGCAAGGAGGTACTTTCGCTGTTGTTTGTTGGAGGGTCGCGGCAATATTTTGTTACCTATATTGAAATAAATTGACAAAAACTCCAGCGTTAGAAAACCACTCATCCAAATCGGTTTCAACAGCAATCAAATCAAGCATCTAGTTTCAACGTAGTTTCCTCGGGGGTTACGGAGACACTTACAACTTTCACGGTAACAAAAAACTGACAGCATTATAAATTTCATCTTGGAGTTTATAGCGCTATAAAAGAATAGTCCTAATTTGTTTTTTAACAAGAGATGGAGCTATGCTTACCAAGAACGTGGTTATCGCTATAACCGCCAGAAGAGCCATACACCCAAAGGCAATTCCTGCAACAGCTCCAGTCGACGTACCATGACCGCTGTCTTTCTGAACTGCGTTAACTTTGTCGTTAGTTCTTTCGTCCCTATGTGGATGAAGCGTTGTGTTCGAGGCCCTCATTGGACACTTTATATTTCCAGCTGAGGATAGTTTCAAAGAAACAAAAGTAATGAGCATGTGAGCTTGGAAAGAAATAACGGTATAGGTAGAGTGTGAGAAAGATGGAAAGATGTTACTTGATGACACAAGCTATTCGCAGAAAAAGGCAAGAATTGATGGATAATAATCCTAAAAGTGAGTGACCGAGTGTGAGGTCAAGATGGCCGTATATTGGCCTTGTTTTCTTTTGCATGTAATAAAATACCTTCTCTTCCTCTAAAGCACACTTCTGAACTAGCACAGTAAGGCTTTTTTAATGGCACATCGTCTTTGTCGTTCTTACACCAATAGCAGTCAACGACGCCTTCACATGTTTGCGAACTGTTTCTTTCACTGCAGCGAGGATCAAAACATTTGTCTAATCCCGGGTTAGGATCTAGATCTTTGCATTTCATTTTAGGGACGGAAGAGCTGTGGTGACCAGTTTTCGCCTCTATCTCAGGCGCCGACCGTGGACAAATAGGAATGCTGAAAATAATGCAAAACAAAAGTAGGATTATGTAACACATTGTCTGACAAGCTTGAGCCACAGTAAAGCTTCGTACCTATTGATTATATGACACAACAGTCAAATCCCAATTTAAGGAGGCTATGTCACTATACAGACCTACCCTTGGCCAGCAAACGACTTTTTCCTCTCTCTTTCTCAAATCACTTTTTTAACGCACACATCGCTCGCACGTTACCGTGACCGTGGACAGAGATAGAAAAATCAAGAACGCGCTAAGAAATAATCAAATTCCAGGATTCGAAAAACTACCTTCTTGAAAAAAAATAAAGCTCTTTTGAGACGTTATTCTGTTGTTGTCCATTTTTGATAAAGAAGGTGACGGAAATCAAAGAAACGTCTAAATGTCAAATATTTCTAACCAGTGTCAAATGTAGTTTTAGTTTTTTAGCAAAGTAATTTTTTGATGTCAGGGTCCGCTTTTTGGTAATTTAATGACATACGATATGCTGATTGATTATTTGGAATGCAGTGCTTTATTTCAACTACATTTTCCCGCTTTTACAAAATTACATTGGCAAACCTGCTATCGGGGAATTGATTAAGGCAATAACGAAAATCCATGGAGGAGGTGCAGGGACATTCACACGTTAAGTTGAGGAAGGAACATTTTGTATCCAAAGAACAGGGGCATGGCTCTGGAGTGCAGAAAAGCTCTCTGACCACGACTCCTGCGAATAAAGATTGATAAATGTCGATGAATTTATGGAATGGCTAGATGACTGACTGACCGACCGATCAGTCGATCGATTGATAGATCGATAGATTGCCTGGGTCAGACAGGCAGTCAGTCTGAAGGACAGGCCATAGACAGACAATCATTGACAGTCAAACAGACACTAAGATAGACAGACAACCAGCCAGCCAGGCAGAAAGTTAGACGAGCAGAACAACACCCATGCATTAATTGAGCAATCTTTTAAATGCTGTAAAAAACGGTTGAATTACGAACCTATATATGCGTTGGTTCCAATAATTTGCGCCATCTGGTATTTGGTGCATCTTGCACCACTTCTAAGAGTGTCCACTCCACCTGGTGGTAAGTGCACCTCGTAAAAGCTTTTCTTCCGAATCTCTTCTAGATCGCGGCATTCTCTTTTTATCAAGTATGTCTTCTTGATTAGATCTTCTGCGATATATTTGTCTTTCTCAGTAATATGCACGTATTCTGCATCTGATGCTGCAGTTGATGAGAGCAAAAAGTCTTCGTGCATAATGAGGAAACCAGCACTGTCCATCACGAAACAAGAATATGTTTTTGTCCATTTACACTTTGGGTAAACCTTGGTGAGTAATCTGTGCAAATAATAGTATAAAATGATGATTTGCTATGAGCCATTTTTTTTATTTTCTATTGTCAGCAAAAATGATGAGATTTGTCACATGTGAAAAACAACTTTCACCTGTGGAAATACGTCAGCGGAAAGTCAGCCGCCATTACTCCCAGAACCTCATCGTTTGTGTGGTGCATATGACTTGGTTCTCCGCGATACAACGCCCGCCCAGCGGTTATCACCACTCCAGCACCCCCAGAGTCCACGTATGGAGACGTAAGAGCAAGTAAACCCGTGTGGGCCAATGCTGTGCGATACCTAAAGACATTAAAAATTGAGAAATGATTTTGTTGCCACTGAAAATTCTGCCTAACAAATGTAATGCAAGATGGGTCATTAATGATCTTACCATAGCAGAAAAATACCAGAAGATTAATATTTATGTAACACACGTGATGCATATCTCTTACCAGGGTCTCTGCCTTGGATCGTAACCTTTGTCTTCCAAACAACCTGGAGTCCATCTAAGAACTCCATTTGATGTACCAATGTATCTCCAGACCAAATATTGTGTGAGCTCCGTTTTGTCACGCAACCACAGATCTTCCACTTTCCATGTCGCAATCACCGTGTCCCGGATGTCACTCTTCAAACCTGGATTTGTTACTGTTCCCGTTTTGTCCTTCATGTAAGCAGTTAGAAGATCCACGTCGGCCTTCGTCTCTTTCTTACTTATGAACTCAAACGGGTCCATGTAGGCTCCTGGAGCAAACTTTACCACTGTAGTGTCTGGCAAAAATATGTAACAAAGAGGAATGGCTGTTACACTTCGAGAATATGGTGCTTTATCGTGGTCTCTTTATCTCTTTTCTCACGGTGTTTTTCTGTCACCCATGGTATCTTTAAAAACGTTCTTGTACTGTTTGTACATTTTCCAACGGTCTGACTAACTTAAACGAGTCTCTGAGATCTAGAATTGTCACACAAGATAGTATCTTCTGATAAGATCTAGACAAAGTTGACGATTTTTCTCTTCTTGTTACCTGTCTGGTTGAGAAGCTTAGTTTATATTGAGCAGAGTTCAGGTGAAGATGTTCATCAATTTAACATTTTTGCAGGTTACTTTCTTCAGTGGTAATATGCAAAGGTTGTTTACCTTTAGCAGCATATGTTCCAAAGTGGGAGCATGGTTTCTCGGGATGAATTAAGTCGATTCGGTGGTATTTAAACGTATAGTCTGAAAAGGAACAATAAAGCCATCGCAACTTCAAGGATTTCGCTAAAAGGTAATGTGAATCAATATTTGGATCTGTATTCTGACAAGAACAATCCGAATAAAGGAGTGATAGCTGCTTTCACTTGTTTTCACACCTGCCCGATTAGTGGGTGGCCAAATGCATGTTTCAATCTTTTGGTTGACTGATTTGTTGGGTCTATTTATCAATTAGATTAACGTCACACTAGATTGTATTTGGCAGGTAGACAAAACGTTACAAAACGTAGCCAATTGATCTATATATATAGTCCAGAGGGGGGTCCTCGATAATATTGCCATACTTCTTCTTCATTTATAAAGCACACAACTAAATATAAAACAATGAACTGACACTGGCAGACATTAATTACAACATCAACGATACAGATAACGGCTCTTGAGGAACCTACCAGGAGGAATAGTGAGGGAATTTAGTTGATCCTTAGCGTGTGAGACAGGTACGACTACACCAACGGAGAAATCAATTTCAGCCAATGGCGCCCAGAAATACGTGCAGTTCATTTCGATGACCGTTACTCCATCTTTTTCTTTTTCCCCTCGAGGCAGAAATCGCTTGGCAACAAATGTCTTCGAACCGGATTTTCCACTGAGTGAAAGGAAAACAAAACAACAAATTGAAAAATTAGGTACTTTACTTCAAGGTGACGAAGAAAGGAAAAGAGAATGAGGTTTACCATGAGTTCCATGTGGGAAGAAAGAGAAATATTTCGAGGAAGAATGACATAGATTAGTTACGAACAAAGAAACTTCACAATTTTCATCCAAATTTGATATTCACAGCATAATTAACCTAGCAATAATGTAATAAGAAGCAATAAAAGTGGACCTTTTCTCAGCTGGATGAGTTTTAAATTGTAATGAAATTGGACTTACTACAAGAAGTACTACTGTATTAAAATACTCAGCTTAAGCCCAGTCCATTGTAAATGTTACTTCATACTAACTTTTTAATCGAGTCAAAGACATCGGTGAATTCTGTCTCCGTTTCCAAGGTCCTTATGTCTATAAAAAACGGCTCCCCGTACGCATCAGTTGGAATTGGTAAGAGTGGATGTATTAAGGTCCTCCCAGAGTTGCTCACGACAAACGCATATGTAGTCTGGCCTTGATTAAAGAATGTGATGTCTGATAATAGGTCCTCAACGTGAATATCGGTACCAACTACACCAATAAAGTTTCCTTTATGGAAACAAGGTAAAGTGATCGTGACCATAAGGCCTAAAAAAACAAAGAGATAGACTTTAAATTCAAACTGGTTATATTGTTAATTGGGATGTACAAACACTGTAATGCTTGTGCAGAAATCCGTAAAACGGCATGAAAAGCAAAATAATACAATCTAGTTAAAGAGAATGGTGACTGTATGGCTTTGTTTATTACATTTTCAAACGCCGGAACTTTACTTTGAAATGTCTAAATGTTCAAACCACGCTAGCTATCCTTTTAGCCACACAGTTCCTAGTGTCATATTAACCAATCGAGTGCACCACACAGATCCGTGTACAAGTGGTTTATAGTACCTGTGCCCAAAGCGTCAATATACGGGACAGACACAACCGGACTGAGCTGCTTTCCCAGAGCAAATAAGTTGTAGTACGTTGCCATTACACCTCTTAGGGTTTTGATGTCTTCGAGAAAGGTGTATCTTCCAGGCTGAAAATGTAAAATCAGAGTTCCAAAAAAAATTACATAAATAAATACACGTTTTCAAGCCAAACTGTACGTAATCATTTTCAAAGGTAAATATTTTTGTATCCCTAATGACAGCCAATGTTTATCGATATTTCTCGTATGTACCACATTCCTTGGACACACAGTTCCTGTATTCTAACTAACTGCCTAGCTTATATTAAGATTGATTTAGAGCTAGTTTCGAGGTTCTTGCTGTAAATCTTTAAACAAAAAATCAAGAATAAGGCGAAAACGTTTTATTAGGTATTTCCATTATGAGGAGACATAAGATGCTGACTCCTCTCCTGGACTCAGCAGTTGACTCGAGTTTAAAACTTAATTAAGAACACAGTTATTGCATAATATGTGATATTGGAACAATGGTTATAATGTTGATATACAGAGGCAACCTTTTTAGGTGCTTTATTTTATTCTTTTGATCTTCTAATTTATCTTATCGCTGATTGTGTTGTATTTTTCTTTTCATTTCGATGTAAATATGATTAGAATTTGGCTTATGATTTTCATTTTCATTTTTTATTTGTGAATAGTTTTTATAAATAATTTTGTAAAGCGCTTGTGAATAGCGTCGCGCACAAATGGCGCCAAGACAATTTAACCCACGGCGTGACTCAGACAAACAAACCATTTCATGCGCTGCTTCTTTGAAAGCGACGTATGGAGCACTTCAGCGCAAAATTCACTGAGTAATTTCGCACTGCACGCTGATGGCCACTCTAGCTCAAAATGTCAGAGAAAACTCCCAACATGTACCTTGGAATAATAAAAGTACAGAGATTGAAGGAGGGCGGCAAAGTATGATGGTAAATAGGTCTAAATACAAAGGCTGTTCATGCGTCGTTACGTCATTATTAGATCTTAGTAGAAAAATTATTATCATATGATTGTACATTATATATATATTATATATATATTATTATTACTACTACTATTATTATTATTATTATTACTATTATTATTATTATTATTATTATTATTGTTTTGCCAGGCAAGAGCGTCCCCATTATGTGAAATATTCTTCGAAACAAGATTATCACGGTTGAAAGGACAATTTAGTCAATCGAATTAATCCAGTCACGATTCACTGTAGAAATGTTCAAAGCGTCGCCCAGTGTACTAGCTATCCTGCTACAACTAATGTCATCTCATACACCTTTAGCGCTAGCGGCATTTTCTACGACTAGGTTTGGCGGTTTGTTAGTAATCCTAATATTTCATTGCAATATCGACTTGATATCTTTTTTTATTACCGGGATGTCTCCAACGGAGGTATTTGCTGGTACACCATATTTTGCTGTGTTTTGCTTGGCGATGTCCTCCAGGATTGCCTGGTCTGCCTTGCCAAATCCATACGTTAGAATTATAACAGAGTTGTTAAGTTCAAAGTTTCTATCTCTTATGGTCTCAAATATTAATTCCGTCTTCTCATCGGAAGGTGCCCCATCAGTCAGAAACAAAATGACTCTTTTCTTCTTTTCTCCCGATTCTTCAGAGATTGAGCGTTTCAGGAGACTGAAAGCTTTTTCAAATCCTATTCTGTACTGAGTTTGGCCTATGAATAAATGAATAAATGAATAAATGAATAAATAAAAATACTAAATAAAGTTATATGAAATCACACCTTAAAGGGCTCTCCCAGTTTCATATAATGATTAGTGTTGTTCAGCTGCAGTAAACTTTTTCTTTATCTCTTACCATAAGGTATCAGCCCATCGACATAATTTTTCATGCATCTGATATTTGCAGGGATTGCCAGGGCTAACCGTTCACTGTAGCAGCGGCTTTTGCTTCCAACGTCTCCTGGAGTTGACGCACGATTGTTGAATGACACGACCCCAACCTATAGAATTCCAACATATTTACATTTACTTGGTTTGTAAAATAAAGCTACTGTGTGTTCTACTGTCAGATGGGAAGAAAGAAATCCAAGACTAGGAAGAAGACTTCATGGCCTTGGGAAGTTTACTCAGACCTCTGGCTTGGGACACCCTCAGGTTAGGCAAGTAATACATTACTTTTTAATGATAAGGGTCCGAAAATGGTGAATCAAACCCCTTATTTCCTTAAAAAGCATCGCGCAGAAGGATTCTCCCTCCTTGATTGTGGTGTTCAGGCAATACAGTTGAGTCGTGGAGAGTTGTTTTTGGTTTGTTCTAGAGCCTTCGGTGCCCATTATTTCTTTGCCTCAAGCAGGAAAGCACAAATTTTCTCGAAAACTTTCTTTTTCGCCATAAATCGATCCAATTGACCATTCTTAGTCTCTAACGAGCAAAATTTGGCTCGTGAAGGAATTCATACGTTTTTGGTTAACACTGACTAATTACCATGGCCAGAAATGCTTGACACGGGCTATTTTCCATCAGAGTCGACTCTCTTACTTCCAGCTTTATCCTAGATCACTCTTTTTCAACACTTTCTGTATCCACATATCACCTACCTGGTCTCTTGGGTTCATGGTATCCAACACTGTTTTTGCCGCTTCTTTAGCGATGTACAGTTTTTCTCCACTCATGGATGCACTTATATCAATAACAAGCACTACATCCTTGGCTTCAGGGGTGGCGGTTTCCACGTAGTACGGCCTGTAACGAGGATCGAACTTGTCACATTCCTCTTTGTCGTCAAACACTGGATAGACTGTCGTGACACCCTCCTCTGATCCAAAATACTGCCACTTCATGAAGGGATAAGTTTCCAAGATGTCTTTCATTTCCTGAAAAACACCGTCATCTAAATAGACTGGGTTTGGAGAAGCGCTGCCAGAAATCTTCATGCAGACGTTGTCGAGATCCACCGCGCAGCGAAATCGTTCGCTGTACTTCAGCGTCGATTTGTTGATGTGACAGCATTCTGTTTGCGGCGCGGCTTTCTCGGACCTGGCGTACGAGTCCTCGACAGCTTTCTTAAGGCGTTTTGTAATCTCAAATCTTGCCTTGAACTTGTCAGAGAGTTTCACTGCTAGATGTGGAGTGATCTCTTCTCCTTTGATTGTTGACTTATGGTACTGAAATCCATCAAAATAATTCTAAAAAATAAAAGAAAAACTCTTTGATCTTTTGTTGTATAACTGACGATGAATGAGCGTGACTGGCCAGCCTACCTTAAATATTTTCTATATTTCTAGTAAGCGCTACAGACGTCACAGTTTGAATGCACAAGTTTAATCATGCGTAAAAACGAGTAAACAAAAGTGATCGTGGGTGTGTGATGTGTGTGTGATTCAAAAAACTGTGGCGACTCGAATTCTAGAATTTGTACTTCCGGGCTCACACAACAGTGAAGCAGCTAAGGAAAAAACGCGGTAGCAACCAGCAGATCGAACTTTCAGCGCTAACAAGCACTGGCCAAAAGTGAAAAACACAAAACTACGTATAATGAAGAACGTTTAAGTATTACAGAGTGGGTTGCATGATTTCCAGGGGTCACGGAAAAACGTGACACCCAAAAGCAAACAAAAGTTCTAGTCGCTACATTTTCCTTTAATGGAAAGAATAGCAAATCATCTAGAGAGAGGGTATTCTGCAGCCAAAGTCAACTTTCGTTTCACATTTACATGAAGCAGAACCTTTAATAAGTAGTGTCAAGCAAAACAATGCAGGTAAAATTAACAAGGGTAGTGCTATGACGTAAGGTTCTTCTATGTAAATTACCCGGAAACGTGTCGCAAAAAAAAAAAAATCGTTAGTGTCTTATCATTTGCGTGTAACGTCAGTCAGTTTAAACAAGTAGAAATAACATCAAAGAAGCCTTTAATAATCTCCATTTTTCAATTTAAAACAGAAACTTAAGAGTAACTGTTTGAATCGGTCACGATTACCTCTCAACAAACTCATTTCGCGACATTTCGTCTTTGAAATCGTATAACTGACCAAATATATTTAGTCTTGGGTGATGGAGTGAACAAGTATTGATGCGTATCATTACGCTGATCATATGCTTAAAATGAAATCAAACGTTTCAAAAAGAAGTTAGCCCTGAAAGATACATTCGATATAATATCTGCAGCAATTATTTAGTCTACTTTCAGGTAGAGGTCAATTTTATCTTTAACTGAAGTTTTTGTTTACGTTGGGCCTTGCTGTGCCAAACAAACGTAATTGCTTTCAAAGGAAATCTGACATCATGCCCCGGACCACAGGCACCACATCTTTATCTGTCCAGAAGGCTTCATACACCTAGCTAAGTTTATTCGCACCTTGAGTTGTGATGAAAAATCTCCTTATCTTCTTAACATGATACTGAAAAAAGTGACTTCTTCCGCCGATTCCGGAGGGGAACCTACCTGCATTTCATCCACTCCAAGGGCATCACGGGCAAACGTTTGCAGCTCTCTTCCCATAAGAGTGGGATCCAGGAGGTTTGCGTCAGCTTCGCTGATGAATATGATGCAAAAAGAAAGAAAAAGTACGGCGGAAATTGCGTTTCCGGGCTGGTGATAGCTAGCAGCCATTTTCGCTTCCATCGTTCAGCAACCAAGCAACTTTAACGACTGCCTCCCACGAAACTAACTTAAAATTACAGTGTAAATATTTATACTTCATTATATTGTTATGAAGACAATTTTCTTCTATTATTGGCTCAAAAGGTAACTGCATGAGTCAACTTCTAAAACGAAAAATCTGGGGAAAACCCTGGCTTGAGTGTTGGTGTTCCGGTGTTTTTTGTTTCGAGATTATAGTGCGTGTCGTCCGCTGCACATTGAGAAAACACTCATTATTGAAGCTTACATCTCCGCTGAGTCTTTTGTACAATCTCTTTGTTGTAGTTACGTCATAATGATGACACTTTATTAATATCAGTTCGGTTAGGTCTCCACATGAGTCAGCTACTATTAAAAAGGGAAAAACCCCAGTTACGGTTTATTGACGTTCAAGATGTTTATTTTCTGCTTATGCCTGGCATGACGTAGGTGGAATCAGTCTTGCGTGTTCAGTTGAACTGAATGACCACATAAGTGCAAAAACGAAATGCACTGAGCTGACCAAATATTACAATTCTGTGTAATTTTCCCGTGTTATCAAGACATTTTTTTGGCAGCGCTTTGCTCATGGGGTATACATAAAATCTAGCCCACTCCATACACTGCTGTTTCATGAACCTTACTATATATTTCCGTCGGGCGAGTAGTTCTATTTTTACACATGTATGGTAATTCGGCACATTTATTTAGATACTCAACAGACCGACCCATACGTGGCAAAATTACAACTTCAATTTGCGCTGCGAGTCTGGGTCAACATGAGAGAGAATCAAGAACAAACAACTGAATTATTCGTCCAAGAACACATTTGTTGAGGTGTGATTATTAATTTGCCAAAAATCAACCTAAAACTGTCTTTATTAGAAGAAGATTTCGGGAAACTGTGTTTAAATAATTTCCATGCTTCAAAGGTTTGAAGATTGACAAAATCATTGCCTGTTCACACGGCAACATTTCCTGTTTGAAGGAATGCTGCAGTATACTTCCTTTCCACGTGGTGTTTTGGGCCATCGTTTTCTTTCACTCTGTTCCTTATCGTGTTTCTCTTTTAGTCCCCTTCTCCAGAAGTTTCATAACTAGCTTTTGGAAAAAAGTAAACGTTTATATTGGTCGTGCTGGGTTACACTTCCGCTGTGCCCTTTACCGCTACCATCTCGCCTAAAGCTAAGATATTTATGTTGTTTACGAGATCGCAGCTTCAAATTAAGACCATACACTGAGATTCGCGGCTGATGGATAAGATTGGAGGCCCTGCTCAATTCCCTATTGATGATCTCTCTCCGCTCTACTAAACTGAACTAATATATAAAGAAACCAACATTATTAACGTGGTTACGACCCATGTGCTATACCCCCCCCAAAAAAATCTTGCTTAGTAAGCAAGCAAGCAAGCAAGCAAGCAAGCAAGCAAGCAGGCAGGCAGGCAAGCAAGCGAGCAAGCGAGCAAGTAACTTTATTTAACCAGGGTAGCCCATTCAGCAACGAGGCTAGTATCCATAGAGGCCCTGTACTTCAAAAGGTCTCAACTAATGTCTTGTGTAAAGAACTTACAAAACTCAAGCTGACTAAGGCAACGGGGCTTGATGGCCTCACAGCGAGACTTCTGAAGGATGCAGCGCCAGTTATAGTGAATCGGTCACGGATCTGGTTAACCTTACTATTTCAACCGGAGTGATTCCATCTGGGAATCTTTACTCCAATTGTACGTCCGCGGATAACATAGACATGGTTTTCTTCTCTTTTTTTTCTTTTTCATTTTCTTGATTTACTTGCCCTAATAGACATCGTCATGAAGTATTCAGCCTGCATGATTTTATTTTCTACGCAAGCATGACAGTTTGAGAAAGCTCATCAAATTTCCGGAAACAGGGGTGCATTCTACACTGTTCATTATCAACTGATTGATAGTGCATATTTTTGGAATGATTCAGCGGGAGCTCTGATGATTGCATGTGAAAAACACCCACTACGAGAACTTTAGAACAGAAACGATACGTCGAACATCCGTGGAATGAAACGAAAGAGAAGAACATGAGTTATTATTTATCCACGCAGCTAGCTACGTTTTCAGAACACCCCCTTCACCATGAGAAGGCAGGAGACGAAATGGTAACGGAGAGTTGTCAACTGCATTGGGGAACAAGAGTCCTCCATGGAACGCTTCTCAAAATATACCCAGAGATAAATACTTTAACGCGGTTCAAAAGTTGTTGTTCCAAAACAAGTGTTAAAACATTGCAGTGGTACAAGTCGACAATGTACTAGACGTGGGGAGGGAGAAGTCAAGACAACTTGCATTTGCTGGCGAGACAGTCAAGAGTCCCAACAATTTGGACTGTAAAAACGAGATACAGCTTTCAGTTTCTTTTTCAACCCGGTTTATTTCAACCTACTACCAAAATGCCTTAATTAAATACCTACTGCAAATTGATAACTACAGTATATAAATAATTCCATCTTTTATGAGAAAAGCAGAATAGTGCAAATTGTCCACTTCATTTGAACAAAAGTTCATGGCAACTTTTGTCCTGGTCTAGATTATAAGGCTTATCTTCGGAGTTGCCAATAATACGTTGTAGACTATAGCTACTCGATATCACAAACCAATACCTTAAAATTCCTTTTGCAGTGGTATCTTGGTTAGTAAAGTGATCATACACTAATAGATACTGACAGTCCATGGTATAAGAGACAGGAGCTTCTCCTGACTTTCGAGACCATAACTTTGGAGGCTATACCGATATTTTTAAGCTAGTAACAATTTATAATTTGTCAAAACTATACTTGATACAGTTTAGTGACATCGACGCGACCGCACCGCGTTATTTATTTTCTCCTTCTTCGGACAACGCTCGCAGGTTCTAACCGTTTACTTAGTCTCGGTGTTTGGGAATGATCTTTCAAACTGGGTCCGGTGCTGCGTTCTAAGAAATGCACTTTACGTAGCCTTGGGGATCAAGAGCGACAGAATCACAGCTCTCGCGCTGTGACAGACCTGGCCTGCTAGAGACACATTGCTCTGTTGCTTCAGCTGTGCGTGGTATCAAACTGTCATCAGACGGGTCCCTTGGTTCATGGACGGGTGAATTCAAAACAGCTGACGAAGAAGGCCCATCAGGCAGCATGTTTGTATCAGATGCAGGACTCTCTGGCTGGTCTTCCGATAGCCTTTCGCCTTCGGAGGCAATAAATGTTATGTAGCCATTAGGATCAAGGGTGATTGAATCACAACTCTCGCGCCGTCGTAGACCCGGCCTGTTAGAGTTACTTTGCTCATTTGCTTCAGCTATGGGTGGCATCAAATGGGTATCAGACGGACTCTTAGGCTCAGGACATGGTGAGGGTAAGTTGCTATATTGGTGCTCCCCTTTCTCGTAAGCAGCTGGTGAGGAAGGTCTATCACACTGAATCAATGGCTTGTCCTCAGATGGCCTTTTCTCTTCAGAAATTGGTGGAGGTGGAATTACAAGAGATGCGCGTTTCTTTTCAAGAACGTATGGTACCTCACTGTCTGTAGAGGGGATTTCTGTTACGGCACTGAGTGGAGTAGTGTTCATGGCAGCGCCCGATGTCCTTCTTATTTGAGACAAGCGAGGTTGTGGATATCCGCTGGACTCTATCTCGCTCCTTTTCTCAGGATATGATGTCGGATAGCTTACACATCTAGGAATGATTTGGGTGGAAGTCGTGGATGGTTTCCTTGCAGGTGGCAGGGCTGGAGGTTTAAACCGGGCTCTTATTTCATCAGAAGGTGATGGCCACTGAACAGAAATTACTGAAGGTTTACGGGAAGGCTGCAACTCATCTGGATCG